GGGGGGGGGGGGGGGGGGGGGGGGGGGGGGGGGGGGGGGGGGGGGGGGGAGTACAACGAGACATGCCCCTCTGCGAGCTCAAACCGTACACACAGACTGCACCAACGGCGAGGGGACAGGGAAACAACGCCTTTTGGCTTGGAAAACGAGGGCGGAAAGCGCGGCTCGCCCTCGTGCTTCTCCCCATCTGAGCCGCCTTGAAGATATCATCAACGCACAACATCGTTCAGAGTTCAGACCGACATTCCATGGATGAACTCTCCAGAAATTTCTACCTCCTTTCTCCGCACAGAGAAGCAGTTCCCGATGCGACGCAACCACCCCCCCCCCCCCCCCCCCCCCCCCCCCCCCCCCCNCCCCTCCCCCCGCTGGAGGGCCAGTATCCGCACGCCAGGGGTTGTGGAGGTGTCCTGGTGTACTGGTTCTAGCAGCCTGTTGTATCCATTATGTGTTACGCACACCTCGACATGGTATCACACCACACTAGCACGGACCGGATAGGTGGCCATTTTCACACCTGGGAGCGATCGTCGTCCGGGATCAAGTGTGGAGAAAATGTGACATCCTCCCTCGACTTGTCCACCGGTTCCGCACCGCCCCTGCCGCCGCCGCCGCCGCCCGACCTCGGTAACGGCGTGCTACGTCGGCGACGTGGGGTGTCCGGTCCAGCAGCGGCGCCGTTCTGCTTCCGAGTCTCCAGACTAGACATCGACTCCGACATTCCCACCGTAGGGTGCTGTGTGACGGTATCGACGAGGCGGTGTGTGTGGTTAGACATATCCCGGGAGATGTGTATATTTCCCGTTTCTACCCGAGAAAAAATCCTCGCCGGTGGCACACGCGCTGCAAAAGCCTGTACCGACCGAGAGAGGTGGTGATGCATGGAATGAAAATCAGCTTCCCCGCCCGTTCACAAATGTACAACGGCAGTACTGCTGCTGCAGAAAAGTTTGCGGTAGTCAATAATCCGAACAGCAGGTAATAGTAGGTACCTTGCGGGTGGCACTGGAGCGGTTGAAGAAACTACTGCTGCCGCCGCCGCCGTTGTTTGTCGGTGCCATGGTTGAGGGTGCCATTGCGCCAGCAGCAGCAGCAGCAGCAGCAGCAGCAGCAGCAGTAGCAGCTGGAGGTGGTGGACCTCCGGGTTGAATCAGGCGGGGGTCGCGCCATGACGAGCTCCTCGTGTTGTGGTCCACGTAGTAGGTGTGTCCCTTCGCGGGGGAAGCAGAAGAGAGGGTTGTGCATGTGTGAGCAAAGACGGCGTCAGACAGGCGGTGGGGGGCCATGTACCTTGAAGTCGTCGGGTGGTAAGTTAGCAGCTGTAACTAGACGGCAGAGAGCGCAAACATTGTTCCGCAGAACATAATTTTCTGAACGGACAACAAAACCGATCAGGATGCGCACCACACCTGCTCGTCTCTCCTCTCCTCCCACCCTTCAGGGAGCGGGGTTAGATTCGCCATTCGGAGCAAAACCTGGACGCTGCCTCAGCCAAGGAGGGGAGAGAGAGACAGCTAATGGTGACAGGACTTGCTGAACCGTAAGTTCTGTCTGGTGAACCGTTCCACGGATCTCTCTCGAGGGGCACCGTATATCGAAACAACCATATTGGGTACCCCAATGATGTCCGCGATGCCTCATTGGTTTGGTTTGCCCTCGCCAGCGGCTAGGCGGGACACAGGCCGACACAGCAGCTACTTGTTGCTGGCATGGCTGGCACCAGGCTTGTAGCGCACCTATTCTTCCTCGTCTTCTCGTTCATAAGCGTCCTGGTGGCATGGCGACTGGGAGTCGTCAAGCGCGCCCCGCTGCCCCTGAAGCACATGGCAAATCCGCACCGGTATCAACCGGGACAACAACCGCCGGCGGCGGCGTCGTCTGCTTCTTCTTCGATGTTGCCAACTCCTGAAAGCAAGGGGCCGCTGCCCCCTCCAGTGGACATCGACGTGGTTCTCCTGCGGAGTCCCCGGGACGGGGACTGCCCTTCCTGCGCAGCGGCGCTGGACGCGATGCAGGCGAACCCGTCCCTCGCGCGCAACGCGTTTCGGGCCGCCGGGAAGGAAGCCTCGGCGGCGGCAACCGAACATTCGGCGGCGGCGGCGACGGCGGAGCCAAGTCTTCAAGGAGGTGTCACTTCTACAGTAATAGCAGCAGCAGCAGTGCCACTCTTCGTCATTCGAGAGGTGAACCTCCGCGTCATCCACGGGGACGCCGCCACGCCCCCGCCGTTGGCCGGCGGCGGCGACGGTGGAGACGGGCCAGCGATGGCCCTCGACGATTGGCTCCATCGAACGCACGTCTTGCCCGCGACAGATTTCGGCAGCACGACAGGAGGTGAGTCTTCTTCCGCAGGAGGCGGCAGCAGAAGCAGCAGCACCGTCGTCGCCGCCGCCAACTCATCGCCGCGATACACGTTCTTCATCGCGTGTCCCGGGGCCGGAGACGCAGGGGAACTGCCGATCTTCACCATGGGCAAGCACAGACACGGCTACCTCGGGCTAGGCTGCACGTGCTCCGCTTCTTGCTCGTCGGGCGGCGGCGGCGGCGGCGGCAACAGCAGCGGAGCAGTGGCAGTTGAAGAAAAGAACAGCCGCGATTCATCGCACGATGCGGCAGGCCTAGCTTCGGCGGCGGCCTTGGCCGTCCTCAAGGCCCTCGCGGGGATGATCGCGGCCCACGTGCTGCGGTCGTCGGTCAAGGCTGGCGACGTGCACGTGCGCCAGGGACAGGCGTACCGGCTCGACTTTTCGCTGCTCAGCGAGGACCCCGCCCTCCGGAGGTGCGCGTGGGACTTCGCGAGAGCCTCAAGGAGATACCTGAGGCCGATGCTCCGGAAGCTGAGTCCGGTGGCGAGCTTCGCTGTGCAGGTATGTGGGGGTAAATGGGTAATGCTACAACGTGGGCGGCTGGGTGCGTGCTAGATTTACCGGTCGTGCGGCGTTTCACAACAGCGGTGTTGTTGGCCGGAGGAGGGAACTGCGTACCGAACCCGAAGAAAAGTGCGTAAGTTTGCTCTTTCGGCGAATGCATTTGACCGACAACGTTTGACGCGACGCAGTTACGTTGAACGGAACTGCTGTGCCGCAACGCCATTGTGCCCCCCTCTATTAGGTGAACTTGAAGCGGCACTCCTGTAGAAGTGTGGACCTCTGTGTCACGAGCACAACCGTCACAGCGTCCCGGGTACAGAACCTGAACCTACTCCTGGCTGATTGTTTTACATCCCAACCCCCACGCGTATCTATCCTCTGCACAACAGTCCCAAGAGGTCCAGTACGCTCGCTTGTCCGCGGGACCCCCGCGACTGTATAACGCGAGGAACCGCTGGTACTACTCTCCCAGAGACCTCGAGGGCTTCTTGGGCACAAACGACTTCTCGACCCTTGACCTCGCGGCGGGGTGGGGGCCAGACGACGACGGAGGCCGCACGGCGGCCGCAGATAGCGGCGAGATGGCCGCCACCACCGCCGCCGTGTCGACGACGAGCTCGCCGCACAGCCAGGTCCCCGTGAGCTTCATGGTGTTCTGCCCTTCGCCGGCGACTTCGCCGCTGGTTTTCATGGAGGACTGGGTTGGGGCCGGCGGTCGGAACCGGCCGTTTGCAGAGGCCTACGAAGTCCCTGGCTTCGGCGGGGTTTCGGTGGTTAACGGTAAAACGGGCGAGGACGGCGGCGCCATCGATGTCCTAGAGCCGGACCGGCTCCGCCGGGCGTTCGGCGCCCACGTGTCTCAGCTCCGTCGGATCATCGGGCTCCCCAGGCCGTCCGATCGGCCTTCCGAGGTGCCCTGGCCCTGGCTACCGCAGCCGGCAGGGGCGAGCGGTAGCAGCGAGAGAGGGCTGTGCGGCGGTTGCCCGGCGGATTCGTTGTCCCGAGAGAAACACACCGAGCTTCCCCTGACTTTCCTGACGTCTCCGACCGACGGGGTCACTGACTGGGAGGTCGACGCCCTGCTTCGCGCCGGGATGGCGAGAAACCGCGCGGCGGCGGCGGAGACCCTCCGGTCCCTGGCGGAGCTGGTGGAGTCGCAGCCGGAGATGGAGGTCAGCGAGAAAATCGCTGAGGACGTGTCCGCGGCTATCGCGGCGCTCGTCAAGTCAGACGCCTCGGTGTCAGACGCCATGACGGCGGCGGCGGCAGCAGTAACTGCAACAACAGCAACTAGTTGCGTGGGATCCGAGTCGGCTGCTTCTTCTGTTCGGAACGATGAGTGGGCGGGCGCGGAGGCGATGCACTGGGCGAGGGAGGCGCTCCGCAGGTCGGAAGCGGCGTACTTCGACCCGACCATGGTGCCGCAGCTTTACTTCCCGCAGGACCACCTGATGGCGGTGTACTTCCCGTTCCTGGCGCCGCTGGCGTTCCCTCTTATCTTTGGCTTCGCCCAGGAGCTGCTGAGATACTATCGCAAGAAGAAGGCGAAGCAACGGCAGGGTGAGGCTGGTGGCGCTGGTGTTGTTGGGAGCGGTAGCCAAGGTGATGCCGCGGGGCGATAGCCGCGGGCGTGCGTTAGAAGAACCCTTTGATTATTTTTTTTTGCTGAGGATGGTTCGAGAAGATGCGGGGGGGGGAGTTTTAGCATGGTGTGGAAATATGTCGTGTCAAAGACTTTTTGTGGGTGCCGGTTGGAGTTGACAAACGCTTTTACAACGTCGGTGTTGGGGCTGTATCGGTATATGTAGTACTTGCAGATTTTTATATTGTGTCTATCGTATGTGTGGCTGGATGGTGTGTTTGTTTGTTTGTTTGGAGGAACATTAATGTTTTATGAAGACTAAAGGTGCACGAAAGCGACCCCTTGCTACTTGCCTTTCCGGGTTCGGCTGTGTCTGGTCCGCCCGACCGAGTGCCTCCAAGCTTGTGGTTTGTGTCGTCAATCTGCTACGCGCTGGTACAAGGTTTGTTGTTTTTTTGGAGGAGTGGGGAGTGGTGGTGTGCGTTTGCATGACCACATTTTTTGGGGTGTTTGCTGTTGTGTTTTGGCTGAATCGGAACGTCCATGAGTGAATAAGAATGGAAACAGAATCCGCATTTCGTTCGCCGGACCACATGCTTCGTCGATCAACCTCGCACGCACCAAGTAGAATGGATGCCGCTGCAAGACTTGCCAGCTTGGGTCAGGCGTTGGTGGGGCACAGTTGTGTTGCTTCGATTACGCAAACGTCGGCGAAAGTGTACCAGATGACGGAGAAGCGCTTGCGTTTTCTCGGGATCTGTAGCCACTAAACTACCGGCGGCGGCCTGGCGCAGCTGGCCATTGCCGCCCGTTTCTCGACCCTTGCGTGAGCCGACTACCTGGATCGTTGTTTTTTTGTATTTTTCGAACAAAAACACAACACAATCTCTTCCACAGATACCTGGGTTGCAGTTGTTGCTGCTCTCCGACGAAAACGCGCCGCTCTTATGGGCGTGAACATGCCGATCAAGAGTACGCTCAAGTCGCCCCAATTCATACATAACGTGCGTCTGTTGGTTCTCCCTGCCGTTGTACCTGGGTCCCTTGCGCGTATACATTCCAGTGTGGAGGCTCAGCGAACGGCTGGGGTAAACACAGAAATGTCGTGGGTTGGAACATTATCAATTTGCGCGTCGCGCAGCAGCTGGCCATCCCTCTGTCTGCCTTCTGTGCACGGCGAGCCTGAGTGCTTTATCTTGTCCATGAAATGATGCTTCCGTCCATTCACTGCTCGAACACAGAAGCAAGAAAGGGTTAGTTCTTACAGTTCGATGCCTACTTCCCGTCGAAGGTCAGCGATCAGCTGACGGATTTCCCCCCAGTTCCAAGCTCGGTTCTTTCTCGAAATCGGACTCTTCATGTTGCCCACCATTTGTAGGGCCAACTGTAACAAATAGCGAATCGGTGGGCGGGGAGAGCGTTGGTCATGTGGCTGGAGTGGGCCGGGGAGGGGCAAAGCCATACATTCAAGATTTCTGGATGCGACAGCGTGGGGGTACGAATGACTTCAGAGTTGGATGCCAACAAAGCACGTGTGTGATCTGTCGGCTGTGTTCCGTTTAGGTTGATCGGAGCCTACGACAGATACGCGTTTTTGTGGTTGATCAAGTCCGAATCGCTTCGAAGCACTGATTGTGTCTCACACGAACACACGAACCTTCTGGTAACCCACAAGGGAGGCGATTTCCGCTCCTTCCGCGTCCAGCGTTCCCGGCTCCAACCCCACCTCGCTCGTCAGAAACTCCAATCCTTCGCTCTCGTCAAAACAATCTTCTCTCTCGCCCCCCTAGGTTTGCAAGCAAAGAACAAGGAAAGAAGTTTGTGTGTGGTGGAGCGCCGACGCACAACACGTCGTATAATTAAGCAAATCATACCCGGGCCCATCATCCCTGTACTCCTCTTTTCCATGGTGCCGTTGTGGTTTCGGACCACTCGGCACCGGAGGATTTCGGGTTGACCCCCCGCAGGAGCCTACAAAACGGATGCCGTCGGCGTCTCACCTCCACCTGCGGGAAAGCCTTGCGCAGCAAGCCCCGCATCACTTGAAGCTGTTTCCTCTCCTTCTCCAGCTGGAACTCTCTCTCCATGTCCTGGAGGTCGTGCTGAACGCGCTCGTTTAGCGCAGGGAAACTCTCCTGCGCGAAGCGAACAACAACAAGAAGGTCGGCGTCAATGGTACCCGCCGGCGGCGACGACGGCGACGACTGCAAAGGCGACCACCGCCTACAACGCTGCAACCAGAAAAAAGAGCGAGGACCAGATCGTCGGACACCAGAAAAGGGAGCTTGCCCCACTTCCAACAACAAATTATGGCGGTTTAGGCACACAGGTGCCGGTTTACGTTTCGTGAGATCGACGGGAATGGTCCGCGGCATGCATCAAGCGCGTAGGACGGAAGGGTGGGCGGTCACAAAGATGGAGAGCCCAGCTACAGTAAATACTTCAATGACATATTGTAGTACGACCGAGATTCTAGACCTACCGATTTGAATCGGCAGACGTTTCCAGGCAAACTTCACGGGGGAGAATGAGACCATGAATGGCGGACTTGGGATCTTGCATGCCGCTCGTACGTGGCGATCGTGCTCTTGCGCTTGAAATCGCTCACGCCAGCGCACATCAAAGATGTTCTTCCCAGGGAGGGCGAGAACGAGAAATGCGCAATGTAATAGACTCTCCTTCACACCCAAGAACGAACAACCACCCCGGGTGTTGCCTAGATCGTGCGCCCAACAACACCGCAACCACCGAAAAGGTGACTTTTTCGGCTTCATACATTGATAGTCTCCAGAAGCCATTCCACCGCCCCTTCCAACCGCTCGTCAGGCACTCCTCCCGCGGCCTTCGACGCGTTCACCGAGCAGTGGCACACCTAAGAAACACAGCGGGTTACGGGGACTGATACGTAAGGTTCGTTTTACTCTGCTCCAAGACGAAACAACGAACGAAAAGCCTCCGGTGTGAGAACCGGCAAGAGATGGAACCTTGTGCGCGTGTTGTGTTAGGATGATCCGAACTGGGGGGAGCTTGTCGCAAGACGTATGTTGAGCAGGGTGTCGGCAAGTCGACGGGCTCGCGCCGAGGAGAAAAAACTTGTTGTGATTTGTTGCATCCACATTCGCACACAAGTATATATATCATGTTGGATGTGCTTCCTTACTTCGCACCGTCGCGTCTCCCCTGGGTCTTGTTGCTGTTGCTGTCTAAACATTGAAACTGTTCAGCCCCGCGTCCACCCACCCCATTCATGCTACTACTGTTGCTGGTGAAGCCCAAACAGTTGAGCAACGGTTCTCGGTGTCGCAACCTCGCCCATTCCATGGAAAATGGCTGAGATACACGAAACATAAGAGATCGAGCGAAAATCAAACCAAATAGAAGCATTGGACACAAAAAGTTGGTCCCACCTGCAGAGTAGTCTAGAAGAGGGCGACTTCGGGGAGTATGGGCTAGCACTGTGGCCTCATCCCTTCACTTGCCGGTGTTGCTATTACTTGCTCGTGTTGCAAGGTTAAGCACGGTAAATATGACAGCTCTTACAGTAGTACAGAAGACATATAGCCTACACACCTTCGCGTCTCTTCTATTGCTCAATCCGAGGTCAGCGGCGGCCTTCTCCTCCCTGATCTGCAGCCCAGCGTCCTCCTTGTTCAGGATGAGAGCCAAAGGCTAGGCACGCAAGAAAAAGGGCACGGAGCACAAACATCAGCAGGAGGAGGAAGGGGAGAAAGCGGGGGAGCGAACTCATGTTTTGCTTGCCTTAGCGGTTGGACCATTGACCGCGCGTCCTCGAGAGAACACACCATCTTTCCCAAACCGATTGCAGCGAGCCGACAGAGGGGAGGGGAGAAGGCACCTCGGATCACCTTTCCTTGGAGGTACTTGTGGCTCGTGGCGGCGAAGAAAATGTCCTTGCTCTGTCCCCAACGATCCCCGTCCGCCCCGTCTACGACGTAGAGCAGGCCGTGCGCGTCGTGGTAGTACTTGTTCCAGATGCTCCGGATGTTCTTGCCCCCGCCCAGATCGTAGAACTTTACCTGCGGCGGCGATCGCAAGGAAGGTATACGTTGATCTTTTTCAATCGGACTCGATTGTGTTTAGGCTTGCTTCGGTGTAGAGGCGACGGCGGCACCGGCGGGTGTGTTGCAGAATTGCTCAGGGCTGCTATTTTGTTCACTCTCGAAACCGATTCGCGTGTGTACGGGAGAACCATTGTTCGCTTTCATCCGCTTCCCTGCGTAAGAGGTTGACGATGACGGGCCATTCAAGGTCGCCTTGCTGACGGACCGCTGAAGGAGGGGGTGTTTTGCGACACTCAATCGAAGCACTCTGCGACCCCACCGCTGCCCTCCGGCCTGCGAAATAGGAGTGGTGCTGCAGCTTGCGATGGTATTACTCTGACGGGATACGGATGCTATCTTCCGGACTGTTTGGTGGGGTGGTGATAACCGCTTACGCGCAAGACGCCCTCCCTTCAACAATTGAGCATACCTTGAGCTCGTCGCTGAGCATCATTGTCACCGGCTTGAATCCGACACTGGGACGAACCCGTGGATTTTGCTCGCCCTGCAGTGTTCCTAGCAGCGTGGTCTTCCCTGCTCCGTCCAGCCCGAGCAACAAGATGACAGCAAGCTTCTGCTTCGGTTTGCTGGGTGCCCGGGGCTGGTCTTCAAATGGCATGGTATTCAACTTCGACGATATCTGGAGGCCATGCACAATAGAAGAGGTGGAGGAGGGGGGTGTCGTGGGCACCGTAAGTTGGATGTAGTTGGACCCTTGCACCGTGGGTGCGGTAATTGCTGGGTCGGGTAGAATGCATCGCCGATGTAGCCATCGCCAATGGTCGTGGGTTATAGATTCCAGACTCTGCCATGTTTCAAGAACCCAGCTGGCACTTGTACTTTTACGGTGTTCACAAACCTCGACGTCCCATGGCTTGTTCAGGCTCTCCTTCACCCCGTCCACGACGGCCCTACCGCCACCTCCCGGTCGCGAGGATTCTCCGCCAACACCGTCTGCACCGAGGTCGTCCTCGTCGGGAAAGCCCCCGCTCTGCGGTCCTCGAGGATGGCTCGGCGACCTTCGCGCCTCGGTCCTCCCCGACAACGGCGGGGATGTCTGCTGAACTTGGAGGTCCAAGCTCTGGGCCTGCTGCAGACGGCTTCTTGCCGTGGACGGCCTCCCTGGCCAGTGCGGTTGGCCCGATCTGTGGCCGATTTGGTGTTGTTTGCTACTCCTGCTGATGGGTTCAGCCCCATTGGGTGGAGGAAAAGCAAGGCGATCGTTGTTGTCGTTCATGTCCTGATCGCATGCGCCGCCCGAAGGAACCCCCTTGAGTTGTTCGATGAGGAAGAGCTCCACGTCGGCCGGCATCGAACGCAGCGTCCGGCGGATGAGCTCGGTAACAAGCGGCCCAACCTCTCGAGCCATGAACACGCGGTCCTGATGCCGAGCGAGTCGCCGTCGCTGTGCAGCCTCCTCCTCCTCGACTTCGATGCCACTAATATATTGTTGAGGGTCTGCCGCCGTGGCGTTTCCTCCCGCAGCTCTGCCTACACCGGTATCATCTGCGCTTGCTTCTCTCATTCGCTTCTTGAACAGGAGGTGATCCAACGCCGCCTTGCGAATTTCCTCGGGTCTGCTCTCCATCAGCACCAGGATGAGGGAGCCCATAACCGGGTCTACCTTCGAACAGAGGTAGGCGTGAGTGTCTTCTATACGTCGGCGCTGCCTCGGGGATACCCTTGGAGCGCGCGCGCGGGGGGGTTCTTCGACGAAGGTCGAACGGGCATTGTCGTGGGAACATCCACCTGCAGCATCGACAGCTCGGGGGCGTGTTGTCGTTGCCGTCCGTGGTCGCCGCCTTTTCTCACGCTCGTTGTGAAGGCGCCTTACTCCCGCAAGGCCGCTACCACTCATCTCCACCATTTCGGAGGGAGGGAGACAAACCGCACACAACTGCTCTGCGCACGATCGTTGGCCTCGTCTGATTGAATGGATCCAAATTCAGAGGTGGCCGGCGGAGAGCTCGTTTCATGTACACGCCCCGGCTTGCTGCGCCTAGCAAGAATTCCGCGAATTCTGAGGAGAGGAGGAGGTTTGCAGCGCCTAGATGAGGATTTTCCAACAAATCACCGACTGCAAGACACCCCAGAGATCCTACGATCCTAGACAAAAAGAAGATACAGCGGCGTGGTGGTCTCCGTTTCGCATACCCAGATCTTCATCTGTCATACGCGCAAAAAAGGGGCATCGTAGAAGCGATTGGACGATAGGCGGGGTACCGCCAGATTTGGGCGCGCATATTTTCTGATACAGCGGGGCGTCCTGCTCGTACTTTTGGTGTTCGTGTCTCCGCAACGAAAGAGAGAGCTCTCGCGGGAAGCCTGGACGTGTGAACACCATCATCAGCGTATATTATTTTACTTGTGAGTGACGAGGCATAATCTACAGGTGCTTGCCCAAGAGTGCCTTTTCTGTCTGTGTGATACAATCCCATCTAGACCAAATGTGAGAGTCGGTCGACCTCCTCTATGTCGTGCTTCTCTCCCTCTTCCCCAAGGACGAACCTAAGGGAGGCTGGGTGAAAAGTACGGAACTTTGGACACTAGAGTCCAAGAGCCTGGGGAGAACAGCCGTGTGTTAGGGTTGTTTACTCTTTCGCTGCCGTTCGCCTTGCTCGTACTTTGCTTCTGGGGTCTGCGAGCGGGAGGAAAAAAAACGTGCCGCTTGTTCTGGGGGTTAAGCACACAACAGAACAGGCATAGACTATTATAGGGCCAAGCAAGAGAGACGGCTAAAACTGTTACAGCAGTAGAGGTGGTGTATGTGCTGTGCATGCACCACTGCGCTGCTTGGCCCACGTGGACCCGGCTCTCTCGACTCTGTGTGCGCCTCGTGTCTGCTCCTCCGCCTTGACGGACCAGCGAGAAGTTCGGGGTTGCAGCAGATGTTTATCCTGTCTCGTCCGTTGTGAACTGTGTACTCAAGACTGAATCTCTGCTCTAACATCAACAGAGAGAGGAAGGAGAGGGTACGCTGCGAAGCAGACAAGCTCTCGGGCCATGGATGAATTACACCGCTCCTTTCTCTCTCTACGTGCGTTGTTTTTGTCCGCGTCCCTCAGCATACGAAGTAAAGTAGCTCCAAGGCCCTTGGTCAAGTTATCCACAAACGGCACGAGCAGAAAACTCTAACGAAATGTCTCGATTACAGAACGAACAGCGTGAACTACCGTGAGAAGTAACCAGAAACGCGTATACCCGGGTGGATTTTCACCATTTCGGGGTACACTTGGAAATCAACACGACACCAATCTCCGACAGCATCCGCCGTAGATCGCGGCGAGACCAATAAGCCGCCGTGTGTCCCGTGTCTAATGCCTCGGAAGCATGATGCACGAGGCAGGTCGTGTCCATTTTTCTCTCTTTTGTGCCTGCCTCTCTCTCCCTGTGCCTCATTCCCTCTCTGTGCTTTTACTGATCAGCACCACACCGACCGAACTCGCGCGTCAAGCGAGTCCGACCCTCTGTTGAGAGGGGCCGGTATTCTATGGAGGCGATGCCCATGAACGATGAACGAGGGAGCGTTGTTGGTGGTTTGGTTGTTATGCATGTGCGTTTGATGGTACGTGCGGTACACAGATTTTCTGCGGGTTATATGCTAGAGCGTCGGGCGCCGGGATTTTACGACTTTTTCTGGGTACAAAATCGACCTCTTCCAGGTTCACCAGCAACCAATATCGGTCACACCAGATGGTCCTAATTCCAGCGGTGGTTGTACCCGATGGAGATTTCTTCCGAAATGGGTACAGTCGACCCTGCTTTAAGGACGCTCGCGTTAAGGAAACTCTCCGCTTTGAAGAAACTTTTTATTGTTAGCACCAGGAGGCCCGACAGAATGTACGATAATGTGGTACCCCCACTTTTCATGCCGCGTATCCCCTTTTGTGTCCTCCGGGCCGCTCTTTGCATGCACCACGCACCACAGTGAGTACAGAAGTAGCGACGCACAGGCAGCAGAAGCAGCGAGCGGTCTGCTGCTGCAGCTGTAACTGGGTGTTGATATGGATAGATTCCTCCCATCTACCGGCGGTCCATCTGATGCCGCCAAAAAAAAAAGTCGTGCATCACCTCGTCCCTCACCCAGGGCGAGGTTATCTCTCGCTTGGAGGACTTTCGATCCTATTCGTACGCGAAGGGAAGGGGCGGCGAGTACCGTGAGACGCAGCACCTTCTTTCGAAGACCGGTCATTCGTATACTGATGAAACTCAACAGAGCCGTAGACCCAAGCCGCGGGGGGAGGTTCAGGGAACTCTTTTTCGATATGTGGAGGGAAAAGTCGCCCAAGGGTAGCTTTTGGTCTGCGCCGGGACAGTTATTATTTGTACTGGTGTTCATCGGTGCGACGCTGAAATATGCTCGTTGTTTTTTTGTTTCACAAGAATGAGATAAATATGTGTCAACTTGGACTTTCCTCCTTCCGCTGCCGGCTATGCAGTACATTGGTTGGAAAAGTACAAACTTCTGTACTGTAGTTTGATGTTTTCAACACGTCCCCAACTGCTGTACATCTCATTTTTAAGTATTGTATGTGTGTTCGACGTCAACAAACGGTTGCCAGTCGTCTCGGCGATGCTGACTTTTCATACCACACCGTTCCTTAGCAAAAGACGCGCAAGTTGAGGTGTAGCATGCCTCTATTGACCACGGGGATGGGAAGCGTCCCCTGGATTTTCAGGGCGCAACCCCGCTTCACGGACGCTTTTTTTCGGGAAAAACGATGTGCGTCTCTAAAGCGGGGTCGACTGTACAATGGTTTTTCGGCCAATCAGCTGACAGCCTGGGGGTGCAAGCGTGTTGATTTCTAACTGTACCCTGAAGTGGTGATAAAAGTACCCGGGAATACCCGGTTCTACTTATTGGTCAAGTACCGTCCACCCGCGGCAGAACACACCGCTGGTACCGCCGTCCTGTCCGTATATTTTGAACATGTAAGGGGTGGAGAGCCTATGCATACCCCTCCAGTTGTCCGGAACTGAGACCCCCTACGAAGGGTGCCGGAAAGTGCGCCTGGTTGTACTTCAGGCATCGTATTATTTCCAGTATTTAGGTGCTCGCCTGGCAGGCTCGTTCCTGTCGTGTGTTACATGCATTCGTCCCCCCCAACCACCCCCGCCCCACTTTCCCTCAGTTCCGATCAAAACATATGCATATATGTACTTGCGGATGAAGCCGTAGATTGCGAGAGGGAAGGTAGGCGTAGCTACTGTGTTACGTGTACCTGGTTATCTCTTTCTTTGCAGCATCTCCCGACAAATGGAGGCGCGCACGAAACACGTTAGTGCATTGGCGTGCAACAGCAGTAAGGCAGCCTCTGCATGCATTGAAAATGCAAAAACACAAACACGATAACTCCCCTCCTCCATCCCCTACTAGAAGATTGAAGTTTCTCACACACGAGAGTTCAGCGATATGTATGCGCACCTATTCTCTCCCAAGAATGTGCTTGCAGGCGAAAGCAGGCAGCGGTGGCTGCGTTACGGTTGCAGCAGGGCGTGATGTGCCTGCCTGAACCCCTTCGTTGGCCCGGCCAAGTCCTCTCGTCTGCCGAGCAAGCCCGCAAGGATGCTAGTTCCGTCTATCTCTCTCTCTCTCCCTCTCTCTCTCTCTCGCTCTCTCTCTCTCTCAGAACACACGCTCCAATGAGCTCTCGCGAGCTCACCCAACGTCCCTACAGCTGTTGTGTGTGGAGATTGCTCTACAAAGCAGTGGTTTTGTTGCTGAGGGTCTGCGCATACCCTGCTCTGCCTACCGGTGCTGCCTAGGGCACTCGCCAGCAGCTGACCTGTCTCTATGTTTCGCATTCAACCGTCATGCCATGCGTGCAGAGTAAGCACTCACGTCCACAAAAAATATATATTCGGCGCCCACAGCATGTTACAAATCACCTTGAAGTCGACACCTCCTCCTCCGGTCCTCTGGCTGCTCCGTTCTAACAACGCCAATGAGTCATACCTGAGATGCAACTATCCGGACCAGAACTCGGCAAGCACCGAACGCGGTATTAGGTCGACTGGGTTGTCTCTCTTTGATTTCATGTCAAATCCTTTCACGGATCGGAACGGAAACAGTTTGGAAGAGGTTTCATTCTGTACTGCGTAAATAGCACAAGCGGTGGTTTGTCGGTTGATGCCGTCCTAGTATAACGGGTTCTTGAGAACGGTGGACGAGTATCGTGCGGTCAAGTAGACCCCACAATATACACGCCAGTTTTTATTTTTTGCTTGTTTGTTGCTTGTGCCGGATGTGCCGGAGACCCCATAGTGACGGGTGGCAGAACAGCGTACGAGATACACACACCTAACCGCCCCCAGCGCGCTTGTGCAAACATAGCAGGTGCTGCAAAGTGCGAAACCCTATCAACTCAGCGACCACCGTTCCCCGCTGCCTGCGACCCCCCCCCCCCCCCCCCCCCCCCCCCCCCCCCCCCCCCCCCCCCCCCCCCCCC